CCCCAAAACCCCAAAACCCCAAAACCCCAAAACCCCAAAACCCCGTCTATAATTAAATATACTGAATCTATTTCATTCTAAAAATCCTTGATAACTAGGTGAGGACTGGCTGAGTTTCATGGTTGCATTCTAAGCCGCTCAAACGCTATGTATGAGTCAATTAACCTTCAGGATAGCAAATTAGCCTTATTTTAGCCTTGTTAAAGGAATTTGAGAAAATTTAGTCGTAAATTCTTGAAATTTAAAAAAAATTAGGAGTTCTAGAAAGCAATATGTGTCTAAAGAGGTCACCCAAATCCATTCAAAAAGCCAGAATTTAGTACTTGTTTTTATGAGAGAAGTCAAATTTACGGTACTGGCTGTCCATAATATTATCATGGTTCCTTGGAGGACCCATGCCAAACCGATTCAGGCTTCCGCCCATATCGCTATTAGTTTGGAAAGTAAACATCGATTGTCTGGAGTGGTGCATCTCTTGAGGTCTCGTCATTAAAGAGAAGGAACTTCGGAAAAGAGGTTCGTCAACTTTAGTATTCATGCCTTTGGCTTCTTCATCTTCGTTGTCACTATTAAACAAGAAATTGTCACTAATCATCCTATTTTCATGAGACAAGAAGCCATTATCCCTCTCTCTTCTGAAACTAGGTTGGGACTGAGGGAGGTCGAACATCATAAATTGGTTTGTCTGGTGTGGCCTAGATGGAAAATATTACTCCCACAATTCTCAACTTAATTTTTCAAAAATCTAAACTAGCCTGTTGACAGCACAAAAATCTAAGAAGTTCACCTCCGAATTTGTTAAGGATTTTCTGAATTTTAAGTGGCAGAAATCAGCTTGAAGAAGAACACTAAGGGTAAGCCATGACAACTTTGGAGTAGAGCAAGGGAATTTTAGGGTAAGATACTCACTTTTGAGAGCTGAACGGCTGAGATAGGTTATTCAATCATTTTTGAGGACTAATAGAGCTTTGGGGCATTTTAGCAGAGGCAACACTGTTCATGAATCCGAAACTGGGTAGAGGAGCAAAGTTGGATTCAGTAGAATTAAGAGGGTCGTTACTAAATCCTCCTATACCACCTTGGTTCCTACTCGTCTCTCCTTGAAGAAGGGGTTCTGAATTCAGCCAGGAATTAGACTTGTACTTTTGTTTCTTGTATCCTTGATGCTTGGATCTGTGAAGTCATAATTTTCCTCTTTGTCTGAAACCTTGGGTGCATCCATCAATCCCACATATATAGGGTAAGGCTTGTGAATGAATATGTTCGTGCTCTTTAAGGTTATGAGCGAGCGAAAACTTTTTCCCACAAGTGCTTCACTCATGTCTATTTGATTTATTAGAAGAGGCTACTAAACAAAAACGAGAAACACTATAGCAAGCAAGCTGAGGTGAGATCACACAAACATTCGCGTAGGCTGCATCTTTTAGATAGATGGATAAGCAAGAGAAAATGCGATCTCTTAGCAAGATCCAGAAGAAACATTCATCATTCTATGGTTTCCCACTTACTTATTTAGTTTTAAAATGCTTTGCTCTAATATGCCTAGTCAGGGAATATTTTGCCTTGAACATATTCTCACACCCTTTGAAGTCACAGATGAAGACCTTGGAAATCGACATTTATATTATCAAACCTATTATTTTTGGGGTTTTGGGGTTTTGGGGTTTTGGGGTTTTGGGGTTTTGGGG